GCAATACTTTGTCTTGGACTCTGATTTAATTTTGGATGCTATTTGGAACCCTGACATTATGACTATCACTCAGTGTTGTATCGTCTGATTCTTGATGAATGTATTCTATTTGATTTTTCTTTATGTACACTGAGAGCATCTGCACCAAAGACAAATCCCTTGTGTGTCCAATAACACTTGGCCAATAATGAATTCTATTCTATTCTATTCCAAAACATCCAGCAAAGAGGCACCCACTGCCTCTTTGCATCATTTGTACTGTAATCAAATTGTTCTCTTGGCTTGGAAGGGAGGTTTTGCACAGCCTTCCTTCAACCTGGTGCCAAATTGAATTAATGGATTCTGGAAAGTGAAGCTGAAACACTCACACTCATTCACACACACACACACACACACACACCACACACACACACACACACAAGATGTTTGGCTAAATAAGGCACATATTAGTAGATTAAAGGGAATTATATTGATATTATTAATGGGGGATAGTTAATTAAGATGTAAGGGAATTATACCAACATTATTAATTGTGGATAATTAATCAAGTTAAATGTTCTTTACGTAAAAAAAATCGATTTTGATGATGTATGTTGCTTAGAGCAAAACAGACCAACAGATGAAATGGCAATTTGGTTCAACTTGGAAGATAATTTAAATTAAGAGACGAAGATGAAATGTTGAAGAGTGGGATGGGGAATATGAGAAACATGTTTAGCGATGGAGCGGATGTTATTGTAAGATATTGGAAATTAAGAGCAATTAGTGATATTGTTTATGCACTAAGAAGAAAATAAGTTTAAGATAAAAAAATATGGAAAGAGAATAATATGGCTGAAATTAGAAACAGAGATATGCTGTAAAATGGATTATGTATATGAGAGGATGAGAGGGTGTCATGTGACTGGGTGGGCGTAGCCAATTTTTTTTAACTTTTCAAAGCATTTTTGCTATATTCGGGCAAAAAGGCAGGAAAACAATGCTTTAAAAAGTGGGGGAAAAGACCTTTCGACGATCACGCAGCTCACAGCTAAGCCATGCAATCATCAGAAGCTTTTTTTTTACTACCGGTTCGCAGAATCAGGAACAATCGTCCCTACCAGTTCGGCTGAACCGGGCCAAACCTGGAGGATTTCACACTGGACCTTAACTTCAAGCTTGTTAAAGACTTAGCAAGCCCTTTTAATCTAGAACCTTGTTAATTCTTTAAACAGAGGACTCTATGAAGATGGGCCATGCCCTTTGGAAGGGAGGATTACACAATGGTACTGTGGTCACCAGTAAAAATAAATTTATCTTTATGCTTAAAATGATAACGATTCCAACTGAAGACCCCAAAGATTATATTTACAGAAAACTTACACGTAAGTAGAGTCGTCCTCTGTTTCAATCTCTGAAAAGACAATGTGTGGATTAATACCCAGATCAGGTAGAAAAGTTGCTTGTGGTGTAAAAGTTTACAACAGTTCATTTAGTGACTGGTTCAAACAACACTGAAAAATGTGACATGATTGTTTTCCACAGTTACAACCTTTGCAGCATCATGGGATCAAAATTCAGATGCTTGGCAACTGGTTCATATTCATGACGGTTGCCGTATCCCGGGGTCATGTGATCCCCTTTTGCGACCTTTTGACAAGCGGAGTCAATGGGAAAGCCAGATTCACTTAACAAACAGGATACTAACTTATCAACTGCAGCGTTTCACGTAACAACTGTGGCAATAAAGGTCGTAAAATGGGGCAAAACTCACTGAACAAGTGTCTCACTTAACAATGGAAAATTTGGACTCCATTGTGGTCATAAGTTGAGGACCATCCATAGTAGATTAACATTTAAGCAAGCCAGGGAGACTTCAGCACCAGACATTTTTTAAAACAATTCATTAGCCTGTAAAATATAGGAACTGAAAGCTATATTTAAAATAATCTATAATCGTCCAAACTTCTTCCAGTGCAGAAATCAGTAGAAAATATCTGTAGTTCAAGGGTGAACTGCGGAATCCTTTTACTCTCTGAGCTTAGCTGTTTACTTGCTTAATAAGTAAGTAAATATATTTATTTTTGCAGATGTTTCATTACCTGATTAAGTAATCTCATCAGTGCTAGAGAGTGTGGAATTTGCTTCCTTATATCGGTTGTTCTCAACTTACGAGCATTTGTTTAGTGCCCAAGTTACAACAGCACTGAAAAAAGTGAACCAGGGGTGGGATTTGGAGGTTCTATGAACCGGCCATAACATTAGCTACGGCTTCTCCCCAAACTCGGCCGAACCCATAGCAGCCCACTCCTGCTGGGCTCCCATGTCAGAACATATTTCTAGAAATGGTATTTAACTGACTGCTCAGTTATTCTTAGTTTGTTTGGTCTGCAGTTGGACGCTTACCTGTTGTGAAGTTTTGAAATCTGGACTTGCTGCAGGTTTCTGAAAAATGACAACTAGAGACCATTAATTATCCATGAGTGGGGATAAGTCTTTCTCCTGCCCAATGCCTTCTCCTCTCCACTCCCTATAGCTGAAAGGGGCTGGCCAAATGATCCCTCTTTTTTTCTTTAAAAAAAAAAGGCATGCATCAGCTTATAACCCAGAAAGCCTTCCCTCTGGAATGAGCTGTCCCCAGAGCTTCACATAGTTCCCAACCTCCGGTCCTTCCGGCGCGCCCTAAAAAGTTGGCTTTTCCAGCAAAGCCGGCCTGGCCTGAATAAAATAAATTTTTAATTTTAATTGTTAATTTTAATTTAATTTTTAAATCTCATTGTAAATGTCTATTGGGTTTTTTGGATATTCTATTTAAT